TATATATATATATATATATATATATACATATATAAAGATACGAGTCTTTTGGAGAATCTTTCGGTTCGATTTGGGTCGAACAAAGCTGATTTATCGTCGCTCGTCCTCGGTTTCAGTATTCAGCAGTAGAATCGAAACGAAGCGGTAGTTATCTCCGGTTCACCTGACAGGTGCATAATTGCGGAAAGAAAACACGGCGACGAGAGGAAGAAGAGAAGTTTCTCGAAGCTTGGTGTGCCACGCGCGCGCACTTCGCTCTAACCAGCTCGAAAAGGAGAAGTACCAGAAGACGGTGGAACACGACGGAGAAGATCTCGCGGGAAAGAAAGAGGGAAGAACAGCGGTGGCTTACCTCTGAGAACGAGGGAAAGGAAGAGACCTGGGATTCTTGATCTGGCACGGATTTAGAAGGCCCACGTGCTTCGTCCAGAGCCTTTTATAGTGGCATAGATTTAAAAAAAAACAGGGTCTGCGAAGGACGGGAAAAAAGGAAAGAAAAGGAAGGAAAAAAAGAAGAACGAAAACCGACAGCTGGTGGAAAAAGGACGAGCAATAACGAAGAGAAAGATAGGAAGGAAAAGAAAGTATATCTGAAGATGGCGAAGGGGAAATCGGTTTCGGAGCGGAACGACGACGTGTTCGATGAGGAATCGGTGGCGGTGCGGTCGCGATGGCGAAATTTCGCCGCTTTCTGGGTACTCGGACTTTGCAACAATTACGGATACGTGGTGATGCTTAGCGCCGCGCACGACATCCTCGAGAGCAAATTCGGCACGACGGTAAGTGGTAACTCTCTTTCATCGATTCGCTGGAGAATCAGTTTCGTTTCGAGTCAAAAATGGGTTTCTTACGATCTTCTTTCTTTCTTTTTCTTTTTCATTTTGTCTAACTTGAACGAATAAAAGAAAAAAAAAAAAAAAAGAAAAAGAAAAGGAAAGCACCGGTGAAACTTGATACGCGCGACGAGAACGAATTACTATTCTTGGAGTCGCTTTAAGTTCGAACTGGAGTCACCAGGGTTATAATTAATCCGGTACCGTAATCTCGTAGAATTTAAACGAGTCTTTGATGGAATACCGCGGAATCGGTACGAAGACCTTCGTTTCCGGCGACGATACACCGTGACGAACGGGGCCATTCTTTCACGTGACGTTTGTTCCGAGCGGCTGAACTTTCAGGTTGCCTAGCGAATCCCTTCTTCTTAGCATTCGATCGCTCAAATGCTTCGAGTAGCTCGCCTTTCGTAAACCCTTTCGGAAGTTTTTCTGTGAAAGGCTTCCGAGATTTTCGTGTTTACCCGATAACGCGATAAACGAGAACACGATAAAACACAAAAGACAATTACGACAGTTAGTAGATAGCGATAACGCGTTCGTTCTTCCGTTCCCGACGAACAAAATCGCTCGGGCGAGACGAGTGATCGAGCGTGCACACCGATCGTGTAATGCCTCGCCTGCATAAGACTCGATGAATCACCGGCGTCATTCGGCCGTGTTACAGCACGACAATTAGGTCCTTGTATCGATTGGATTTCTGCTGTCACTTGACGATGCTCCGATTGCCAGTGAAATATTCACACCGGCAAGGTGGAAAAGTTCGCGAAAGAAAAACACGCGCGCATCGTGATGGCGTGACGAGGTAAACACAGTGATCGAAAGTTTCGCACTTCCTTTCTAACGCATAGTCATTGAATCGGGCTTAAAATGTTGCAACATCGTTGCTCGGTGCCTCGACTTACGCCCACGCAATCGTATGTTGTTTTTTTTTTCTTTTTAAATACGATCGGTATCCCAACGATTTATACATTATTGATGCTAATTCTTTCCACCTCGCGGCGGATTTACTGAATAAAGTATTGCTATTATAAGCTGCTCGTAGGCGTCAAATAATCCACAGACGTTAACAAGCACGCTCTTTTCCTACGTTTATTTACACGCGAATCCTTTTTACGTCTGCCATTTTCTTTTTCGTTGACATTCTCGTTTCTCGTTCGACGTGCAATCGGTATCGAATTGTTTCCAAAGAAAGTAAACGATGCACACTCGTAATCAGCAACAATGACGAAACGTCGTCCGACTGAATGAAATATTAAGCCCGGCTGTAAAATGTTTTACGATTTAATTAGTACGCGTTCCGCATTACGATGTCCCGCCGCAACGAGACGGTTCGTTACGGCGATTAAGAGCCTCGTTTAAACGACGTTCCTCGTGATCCTGATTGCGATGAGCGAGCTGGTAATAAGGAACAGCCAGAAGTAGTGGGGCTGGAAGTGGCAGCGATGAAGGCGCAAAGGGGGAAAAAGTCATTAGAGCAACGAACAATTAAGCGGTGTTACGTCTTCGACTCTGAACAGATTCTCGTGCACGAGGAATTTTCGTTATGTCATCGACAAATCTATGGCGTGCGTTTCACATCGTGTTACGGAGAATTCACTACGTCGCTTCACCCCTTCGCCTCGCTTCGAACGCGAATTAACTTACATAAGACGCGAACAGCCGCGGATATTAATATTCTACTCGTTCAAAGTGGTAATGTCCGTGAAATAGAGAGATACCGCCATCCGATAACATCATCGCGGCGATGATGCACAATCGGCGAACCGAATTATCAGAAGGCAAAACTGATTTTTCCGATTTATTGTGTAAAACGTAATATATCCCCATTTCTCGCTTCCGAATGGATGTATTAATCCAGTCTGTCTCTCTCTTTCCTTCATTTCGGCTTCGTCTCTATTAAGGAACCGACGGAGGTCAACAACACCACCGTACCAGGGGAGATTCGATCCTGCAACACGTTGTCAACCGGCGCCATACTGCTTGCGGATATATTACCATCGTTGGCCGTGAAAATTATCACGCCTTTCCTGCCTTTTTACGTACAGTGAGTATCCGTTTGTGTTCCTACTTTGCTTTCTAATTATATGCCATTCGTCGCGTTCCATTCATCGCGACTTTTGCGTAAGTCGCGTCGTCGCGCGAGAATGGCCAGTAAAAGAGCACTGCGAAAAAAGAGAACAATAGTGACGATACGTCGATGAAAACAATTGTTAGGGAACAAGCCTTTGATCCGTGGATTATCACAGACAATAGATAATAGTTTAGATAACACAGAGGCAAAATCATGACATTGTTACCTGGTTTTCACGGGATCTGTCGGATGTAGCTCGATGATTAATCGTGTGTGATTATCTTATCGACGGTATCTTCGTATCGCTTCGGTGATATCGCGGTATTATTAATTTATTCGCGTAGACTTCTCGAGAAAATAAAAAGATAAAACAGAACGATGTCGCGATGATGAATGAATCCGTTTAAATGGTCGCGCGAGACGCGAATACATTATATATCGAGAATATGGAAACACATTTCCTTTGAATAATGGAGCGTAGGTCGACTTCTCGCCTCTGCTTCTTATCGCGCGTATTTCATCTCTGGGTATTATCCTATGCTCTAAACGTTGACTTTCTCTGGGCACGAAAACCGCCAAGTACACGCGGTTTTCTCGAGCGATGGATCATCTCGGGAGTCGTGTCCCTCCGCGGGCACGTCGCTTTCTTCTCGTGAATGAAATGCTAATCGATTAATCGAATCATTAATTACAGTGCTCGACTGGCTACCTGTGTGTTATTTTCCGCTGCAGGATTCCTCGTGGTGTCGTTGAGCACTACTGAATGGCTCGCCATTTTGGGCGTCGTTATAACGTCACTCTCTTCCGGTTTGGGAGAAGTTACGCTGCTCAGTTACAGCCACCAGTATCCCAAGTAAGTACCATTGTTCCTTTCTTTGCTATTTTTTTGCTGTTGGTATTTATTCTACTCTATTTTTTTTTTTCTTAAATTATTCTTTCTTGATAACAATTGCGATCGTTTCTTTCTGTTTGCCTGTTCTATCGACGACCATCACGTACAGGCGAGTTTCACCCATCGTGCCTTTGTTACTTTTTCTTTGCGAGAAACAATAACATGGCGTAGAGACAATCGTGGGCAAATTCGTAGCAAATCGGTTTTATTTATTTATTTATTTTTTTCTTAGTCGCGTTAAACGCATCGTATTTTTTTTTCATCTATTCTTAACATACATAGCGTTTCTTTCATTCAATGAACACGATAATAACTGATCGTTTGTGTCTTTCTGATCTTAGCGATGCTCGAGGATCACAGCGTGTGCGTGAGAGAGCAAACGTGAAAGACATGCAGAAAGATACAGTTAGAAAAAAGAAAAAAAAAGAAAGAAATAAGTGATAGAACGATGTGTAGAACGAACAAAAAAGTAGAGACGAAAGAAATAAAGAGAAAAAGAAATACGATGTAAAATTTGTTGATGCAGGTATCGAGACAGTGGCGCATATAATCGCAGTTATATTGGCATTTAGACAGGTGTGCGAAGAACGGTAAAGATAAGATAATGGCAGGTTGGCTCTCTATAGACAAAAAAAATAAATAAATAAATATAAAACGCTGTTTCTAGAACTGGTACGAAAGCATAATGCAAAAATATATTGTACATGCATGTAATGTAAAAGTACAAAGTACATGCGGGATTCTGAAAAAAAACTTGTTGCGAGCACGAGGTACGTCTGTACTTATGTGTGTAATAACTGTTAATCACAATTTTACTCTTTCTATTCTTCTTCTCCATCTATCAATCAGTCTATCTCTGTCTCTTTGTCATTCCTTCTTCACTAACAATTAATCATGTCGTTAGTCAAAACGAACGCACGAGATACATAACACGTGTCCGTTGAACGTGTATTACAAACGTTCTCTGTTAACGTTCGATCATCGATCGTGATAAATTTCATCGCAACTTTTACTAGCGTTTTCGATAATTCAGTTTCGTCATATTTTCTTTTTTTTTTTTTTTGTTTGTTTGTCTTTATTCCATCCCACGTACATCGTCAGATCATCGGTTCAGATATTACTACTTTCCACAGCTGTATGTCGAATTACCCTAGTTTAACCTTTGCCATTGCTTGATAACTGAGAGCGATTCATTATTTCGCAGACAAGTAATCGTGACATGGTCTTCCGGTACTGGAGGCGCCGGAATAATTGGCGCGCTATCTTATGCCTTCCTCACCACGTGGTTAAGCAACGAAGACACATTGTTAGTTATGTTAATCGTACCGATCATACAAGGGATCACTTTCTGGTTGGTTCTGGTTCACCCGCCGCAGTCCAGTATCCCGATCACTAAGAACGGTATCGACAGCCAAGAGCACATCATTGAGGTTCCTAGGAAGAGCTTTAAAGAAAAGATCAATCTGGTACCGGGGTTGCTGAAGTATATGATTCCGCTCGGGCTGGTGTATCTCTTCGAGTATTTCATTAACCAAGGATTGGTAATGCCTTTTCGTTACACTTTTCAGCTTTCGTAAAATTGTCTTTGCCTTCCCTCTTTTTTTTAACTCTTGTCTCTTTTGCTCTTGTTACATATAT